CGTTTAATTCACAGCTCGCGCGCGTGTGTAAAAGATTAGCTGCCATCTCACCGTAGTAGGAGCACTAATGTTCTCGGTTACAACCGAGCATTTCATGTGTAAACTTTCAAAATAAACCCCCGAGCTGTGTCAAAACGTGTGCTGACCACTTGGATAATCAGGGCACTTTAGTTTGAAATGTTTCTGACGTGAGAAAGGCTAACTTTACCAGGAGGCTAGTTATGCTAACCCACTAAGCTAGCCTCGGCCAGCTTGACAGCGGCGAGGCGAAGGCATGCACACTCAGCATAACAGCAGCAGCAGCTCTGTTTGCTTTACGGGCCCACCTGACTTCAAAACGACGCCCCTCCGAAGTTGTAGCTGTTAAAGTGCTCGTCTGAAACCTAACATCCGAGGCACAGCTGAATTTCGGCTCCACTGACAGAAGCGACGGCGCTTCCAAACGCCTGCCCGTGCTCTCCTTGTTGATTCCTTTCTCTTGTACCGAAGCCAGACGTCATCGTGTTTGGTCACGTGCCTCCATTCATGAAAGATTTTCTTTGCTCGCAAGGGGGAAAAATGATAACTAAGAATACAGCATCCTTTGTTACATTGTTTCTTATACTTCCTGTTGTGACTTAGAATCAGCACTGCTGGCACTGTGAGCACTGGCACAAATAAATCACAACCACAGAATTAGTTAAATGTCTAAATTTAATAAACTATTTTGAAAATACACTCATTTGGAGTACAAAATATAGCATTTTATCAATATCTGTAGTATTGCAAAACATGATTTTGGTACACAGTACAATACAAGCAGCAATGGGATATCACCTTGAGGAAAAAAAAAAACAGTTGTGAAGTGAACCTCTTTGGCATGAAACATGATCATCAGAAACAAGGTTTAGAAAGCCAGAGAAGAAACTGATAGGAGCATTTTTATTCCATGAGTCAACTAAAATACCAGGAACAGGGATATAAAAGAAAGAAGAAAGCATTTCATGGTAACGGAAATGGAGATTTTCTTACAAAAGGAAGCTATTATCGCTTGAAATCTTTCTCTTGTTAAGTCTCACCTCATATTTTAGGTGATTTACTTACTTAGGTCAACAACTACCCGGCAGTAGTGGTTGTAGCATATAGCCGGATCATCAGTGATATGACAAGTTTGCAGTTTCTCCACCTGGCAGGTTATTTTATTTCTTTTTGGTCCTGGAGCTGCTGCTGCTGTTGAACATACTGATCCCACGAGATCTGACTCCAACAGCGTCTGGAGTGACTCCCGGTTGCTGCAGCACTTGGTCCAGAGTTGTCTTCTTTATGGCAGCAGGGGAAATCTTCTCCTGGTCAGCCAAATACTGAAGTTCCCTTTTTTGAAATATAAAAAAAAGCAGAAACAAAAGAAGATAAACATACAAGTTAGAATGGATAATACATATTAATCACAGCATAATAAATCAGTGTAGTAATAACTTCAACACTAGGTGATATGTAACCAGAGAAGCCACGATTTAAAATGATTTGTACATACATAGCTCCATCTGCTGTCTGAATAATAAACTTTTAAAAAAAATTGTCACCCTTTGAGCAATTGAGTGAATTGCTTTTCTTCTGTGTCTTATGACAGGAACGACAAAAATGTTTCTCTGTTTGTTGAACACCTCTCTCGCCAACCTACCTCGTCCTAACGCAAGAAGCCTCCACAGCATTGATGAGCAGGCTGCGGAAGCCACCACTCTCCATAACATGTAGGGCGTGGATCGTGGCGCCCCCTGGTGAACACACATTGTCCTTGAGCTGCCCAGGGTGCTGCTCCGAGTCTAACAGCATCCGAGCAGCCCCCTTTGAAGAAACACAAAGGAAGCGCCACTGATTGATTGCATAAAATACGCCACGTGATAATGAACATTCAGACTGTGTCAATGTGCACAATGGGACAGGACAAGCTGCAGGTCACACATAATTGAACAGTATTCTTTTAAACTCAACTCATAGGCACTAGGGGTATTCAGAAACACAGCAACATCAAACCAGGATCAAAACCTAAAAAAAAAAAAAAAAAAAAAGTATATACTGCATCTATAACGGACATACCAGCAGTGCTTGGGCTCCGAGGCGTACAGCCAATCTCCTGTTCAGGCCCATTTTCACACCACCATCAGCAAGCGCATCTACAGCAGTGAAAGCCTGCAAGGTCACAATCATCAACGTTACTATGATGGAAAGAGGGCAACAAGCCGGAGGGCACGTTTTTCACAAATGCTGCAGCTATGGCAGATTTGCAAAACACACTGATAGGTAGAACGGACTCACATAAGCAGGGCCGCTGCCGCTTAGGCCAGTGACTGCATCAATCAGGTCCTCTTCCACCTCGGTGCAGTAGCCGACACTGGCCATCAGCTGCTCCAGGAGCTTTCCATCCTCCACATCTGCATAGCTTCCTGTAGCATAGACAGTGGCCCCTTCACGGACTACCACTGGAGTGTTGGTCATGCAACGTATGACCTTTGGAGAAGTGCGATACTGCTGCAGCTTCTACAAAAAGGAGCAATGCTCTAATTTAGTGACTTCATTTGAAGGGATGATGAATGAAAGTACCAGTTTAAAGTTTCTTATAATGGATGGATACAGCAAGCAAAAACAGATTAGATGTATGTATAGGCGATGTGAGCACTGAAAAATATGAATCAATAGCGTTTATAAGACTTTAAGTTATGCGTCTGGATTCATCTGGCTTATGATTTGCATTACCGTAATGTTTTAAAAGTAGTACTATAATTAAGTGATCTAGTGTTCATACAAGCAGGGTACACACCAACTCCTACGATGCACCATACCATGTCACTACAAATACTAGTAGATAATTACTATATTTACACCAATTGACTTATAAAAACTAGTGTAACAAGCAGCTTGAATAGGAAGGGGGGGCTTAAATGTGTTTAGTTTGTAAGTTTCCCACCATAAAACACACAACATGTAAACACGACGGGCTATGACTTGCCTTCTCTATGGAACTGATTCGGACCCCTGCAGCACAGGACACAATAAGGTGACGGTCTTCGATATCTGGTCCAATCTCATCGAGGACAAAAGGAATGATGTGGGGCTTCACAGCCAGGAAGAGAACATCAGTCCTGCTCACTGTCTCCTTGTTGCTGGTAGTGAAATTTACACCCAATTTCTGTACAAATTGACTTCTTTTAGTAGTTCTTCAGACAGGTAAAATACATATTCATAATTACACAGAGTCACTAATATAACAGACTACGCACCCGTAGTTGCTGCACTGTGGGGAGATCTGTGTCTGGAGAACTGGCTGTGATTTTGTGCGTGGCAATCACGCCTTGAAGAGGGGAAAAAATATCCAGAAATCATTTCGGTGCCTGATTGCAATCTACATACATCAAGAATACAAATGAAATGAAATTAATGCACATATGGTTAAAGGTATGTTTCGAAATTCACCTGCTGCCGTGAAGCCTCTCACCAGAGCGTGGGCCAGCTGGCCCGCTCCTATGAAACCCACGCTCATTCTGCCTGTAGGTATACACAATTTAAAACATTAAATTTAACGTTTTGTCTTACAAGTGACAGATGAACCAAGAAAGGATGAGCCGTGTGCCCTTTTTACAGCTCCGACACGTAGCGCAAACATAATCTTACTTCCGTATTATTCACTGAGGGAGGGCAAGGCGAATCCTGGACACATAATGGCAGCAGCCATAACGCTAACATTCATTACATTTATGAACAAACGGAAGAATCTTTAAGCTGACAGACAGACAGACCAATACCAGCTCTTCATAAATACCTGAAATTACAACTCTGTCAACGTGTCCCAGGTGATTAACGCTGTAGCTTCTGCAACAGCGACCAGAAACGAATTTGATTGACGAGGCTTGCGAGCCAGTGAGCTTTCACCCTTAGCTTACGCGTGACAATTTCAACCAATCGCAGTGGCAGCAGCGTAAACTTTGAGGCGGGGTTTAAATTGCACCAGGCTGTGCTGCTGAGAGGAAAAGCTGGTTAGGAGACGCAGTCGCTTTACTGGCATCTACCGGCGAAAAGCTTGGAAAGACATGTCGAGATGGAGGCGCTCAGACATAACATACATATTCTGAGCAGATAAAGTGCAACATAGTTAACAGACTGATGTAAGTAACTCCGAGTTAGGCGTTTTTTCTCTTAAGTTTCTTCATTATCCTGTCGGTAAACCTGTTTATATTTGTTAGCTATTCAACAGTAGCAGGTAGTTACTGTGCTTATTGTGGTTGTAATGAATAAAGTTGTGCCATACAGACAGGTCATAGCTTTTTGTCGAATTAAAGTGACTTACTGGCAGCCATTAGCAAGTGTTTTCTGTATTAACATGGTGAAATAACAGTAAAACTACCTCATTTTAAGCATATAGTATAACAGGGTACAGCATATTTGAGTTATTTTGCAACATGGTATATTAACATACAATAAAATAATGTTCACTTTTACCTTATATATATATATATATGTGTGTGTGTGTGTATATATGGGTTATCAGCATGTATTTTCTGTATTAACGTGGTTAAACTAGCAGATTTTTAGCAGTAAAGTAAATCAGTAAAACAAAAAGCAACATTATAATGCTTTTTTTAAAAAAAGTTAAACATTCTAAACTACATTATACTTTAAAACCTACATTATTAGGCATTAATGTTTATAAACATTTTTATTTAACTCAACAGCTTCTCTAAAATTGTAGACTACATGTAGGCTAAACAAACTAGCATATGCTGCTTGATCTTTTTTCTTTCTTTCTGCATTTTATGAACAATCAACACATTGGAAAACCTTTATTTTTTAAAAAGAGAAAAAAAGTTACGTATTGGCGAATCCCAGTCTATGCTAAATTACCAAGTATAAAGAAAAAACATGAAATTGTCCAAATAGTTTCACTGGTAGCAGCAAATTACCCTAGAACATGAAAAACACTGTGTGTTTAAGTCCTACTTTATGCAAAGAAGTGAAAGAAGGCCAAATGAAAACATAGACATTTTATTAAACACAGAACAGAGTACAAACATGGGAAAAAGAATGTTAACACTCGTGCTTGTGGTCAACATGTAATGTATCAACAAAATAAGAAATCTAATACTGCTGCCAAACATTTGCCTTCAAAAAAATTGACATTCAGTAAATAAAAAAAAACCTTATAAACTTCAACATATGTGGGGAATATAATCTAAACTGGAAAAAAAATACAGCGAAGTGGCTAGAAAGCCAAAACCATATTCTATGTTCAGTGCAAACTGTTGACCTAACAGATACTAAACATATCTATATATTTCCACCCTGTTTATTGTTATATAAATAGTATTAAATAAATTGCCAAGCCTCTGAAAGGTTGAATGACATAACACTGGTCTGATACTTCTTTAGGTCCCAGATAAGATGGATGCCTGTATTAGAGAGATGGATATATTTCCCAGAGTCGTCTGTGGACAGAGTTGCTGAGATTGTCTCCATGGTGCATGTTCTCTATGGTAGGAAGAAGTTCAGGACTAGATGAATACTGTAACATAAAAACTAGATAATACTGCTAATTAAAAAAAAGTGTTATACTCTGGCTACATAACACTGTGAAATGGTGGATTTAAGCCATTGAGTCTTTCACATAGACCTGGATATGGAGAACAAACTGGATATGTCCTTGAACTTGGGTGTTGGTGGTGGTTTCAGACAGCAGAACTAGAGATAAAGCGAATCCTCTGGGAGTAAACAAGATCTACAAAATACAACACTAAGTTGACGTTAGTAAAGACGGCCACAACCAACTTGCTATCCCACGGACATTCTCCTCGTGGGCAGTCCTCGGGACGAGTAGTGTTGCCATACTTCCTGTCGAAGCTGAAGATGGGCCAGATCAGCGTAGTACTGAGATAGAGGATCACAGCAAAGAAAGTGTAGATGACCACAAACCGATCAAATGGGAACCGCAGGGCAGAGGTCCTACCAGAAACCGTCAGTACGACCACTATCACAGTGACAGAGAAGCACAGGCTGTACACCACCACACAGTACTGGGTGGCAATGTATTGGTTGTACTCACTGTCATTAGCCAGGGCCCCAAAAATGATGCAGGCCACAAAACCTTGGACCACCTTGAGCAGACCAGACACAGTGGCCATGTATCCAACCACAGCCCCTGGTTTGGCTCGTGTTAAGAACACCTCAGTTGCGTAGGGGAAGCAACAGACTGCAGAGCAGACTGTAACAGCAATTCGGTATATTTGGACTTCCCACTCCTCATCGGGAACCTCTGTCTGGAGGAAGTAAACGGGGTAGACCACAGAGGCAGTGATGTACATGAGTGTTGCCAGCATGGCAAAGGCCACAGTGAAGTTATCCCAGGAAATCGGCATACAAGTGTGGAGCCGGGTAATGTCCAAGGTGAAAACAACCAGTGTGACAGCAAAGCAGAAGCACCACACAAACATACAGAAGATTCCATAATTGGCACTGTAGCCTGCGCTGTGGGACACAAGGGCCATTATGGTGCAGCCAAACAGTAGCTGGAACATTCGGGCTATTCCTAAAGGGGACAGCACAGCTTCTTTGTTGAGGTAATGTCCTCCTTGAGAATCCATGGTGCCTGTTGTCCCTCTAAAGCAGCTGTTGTTGCTGGTGAGATTCTTAATGTCCCGTTGCCCGTGTTGGTGTCCTTGCGGCCTCCTCTGTCTTTTTCGCGCAGACCTCACCCTTTTTTTGGTTTCCTGTTATAGATGGTCCTTAATTACAAATGTCTGTAATTTCTTTCCTGACCTTGCTTTGTAATTACAGCAGTGTGTTTAAGCTCAGGTTACATGCGTACATTGTTATGTAGAAGTTTGTTCAATAGCTTAAAATGAGAAAAGACTTTCAGTCAACTTTGATAATAAGCTATCTTTTTGATAGGTTTCTTTCTTCTTGGTTGCACAAGTTTGTAAAAAGAGTCTAATTTCTGTGCAGAATAATAACAGTTGATTTCTAATGATTTCAAAATGTGTTTCATGTAATAATAATATGATCGAGTCTTACTCAAAAGCTGCAGTGAAATCTTGGTTTTCTCTTGCTTGCCTTGCTTGCTGGCTTCTTTCCTCACTACTTCTTCCAGTTTAGCAAAATATCAAAGTGAAGTAACGTCTTCTCCAATCAGCCCTCTTTGAAAATTGATATCCAAAGATCAATCTTCCAGCAAAATCCCTCAGTGCCAAGCAGGTGGACAAATTTGTTGTCCTGTCAGTCAACTTCAACTCCTCATGGACTCAGTCCTTATAAATTCTTCTCTTTTCTCTTTTTCTTCCCTAAACTGTCCACCAGAATCACTCAAACTGTCGGCTATGTCTCTTGCTCTTTGTCTCGCTGCTTTCTGTCTTCTCTTGCCTCTCAGACTTGATCTCCCACTCTTTCTTATTCACGCAAGCACACCCTGCTCCTCCTGTCTCTGTCAGTGTGCACTCGGTGGATTGCTAGGGGTGGTTGTTTAAATGAAAGTTTGTGCCGAGCCCAGAGTTACAGGCCTTGCCAGCGCTATAAATAGGGGGTCTATATTCCACAGAGGGGTGGGAGGCTGCATGTGGCAGGCAGTTTGGGAGTCTTATTTCTAGGGAGCACCCAGAGTGGCTGAGTCAGAGCTCCCACAGTCAGAAACTGGCATTTACACACTGTGTAATGACAGGGAGGAGGGCTAAGACTCCCATTAGAGGCATAAATTACACACAGGTTCAGAGGGATGATTATACACAAGCGATGGCAGATTTGACCTATGCATATGAAAGGGAGGTAGAAATGAAGTGGCAATTACTTAAAATATTTTAACCTTCTTATTTAAGTATCCTCGTTTTTTAAAATTGAAACATTGCAAGGATGTTCTTACATAAAATCACTATTAAAACAATTTTAGAAATGTACATGCATGTATATGCATTTCTTTAATTAGAATATTGCAAAAAACAAAAGCAAACTTAAATATTCATAACTGCTTACTGCATACATAACTGCAAACTACTTATAAGTTATTTTCAGTTTCAAGTTCAAAGCAGCATTTTTTCAGCTCTGGAGGAAGTTACTCAAAATTGCCTTAAACACTGCATTTTAAAAATGAATATGTCATTTGGTGTGGAATTTTAAAGAGGCTTTATCTTCTTTGTTTTGCAGTTTGCAGCACTTGCACTGTTAGGGAATGAGCTGTTATACAGGTAATATAGAGAACAGTACTATCTATCCATTTTATCTGCTTATCTAATTCAGGGTGACAGGGGGTCGGGCCTGTTTTTGCGCTATCATAAGGCAAGAGGGTTACCAATCAATCACAGGGAACAGTAATACTTCTTAGCCCAAAACAAAAAAACCCAAACCCATCTCTGGGTTATCAGCACACATTTCAAATTAAAGTTCTTTACTGGCAGCAATTAATACGGTAAAACTACCAAATTTTTAGCAGTAATGTAAAACAGTAAAACAAAAAGCATCATTATTATGCTTTTTTATCAATAAACTTTCTAAAGTACAGTATTATACTGGTATTTTGCAATAGTGTATATTAATTCCTGTACAATAATGATCATTTTTACCTATCTACTTTAAAACCTACATGTGTTACTGTGTTTGTGAATATATTATTTAACGTATTATTTAATTGTCAAATTTTTCTTCCATTTAGGATGTGAGTTATACAAAGTTTTCTGTTGGTCTTCATTCTGAAAGATCAAAGCGGTACGCCTTTCTAAGTTTGCTAGCTTTAATTACTTCCAGTAGGGTGTGAATTTATTTTTCTCAAAATAAGTTTTTTGTCTGTGATAGACGTGCCATGGGAGGACAAGGTGGAGTTATTCTGAGCAAGGTTTTTATGCTTAAATAATTTGGAGAGAACATTTAGATGCTGATAAGCATGTGTAAAGATAGCTGTGGCTCAGGAGCAAAAGTGAATTAGTGGTTTGATGCCCAGGTTGTCCTGCCCATGAACTGCTGAACTGTAAGTAAGGCTCCAGACTACTCCTGATGTTTAGGCCCTTGCGTGGTAGATACCATCACACTGTGAGTGTATGTGTGAACAAAAGCTAAATTGTGATGTGTGCAGTGCAGGTAGCATAAACACACTGCACTAGGCTCAAATACACAGCAAGATAAGAGCCACATGGTGCAGAGTTTATTATGCAAGGCAGCTTAGTTTTGCATCATTTGCACACCTTTTATTCAGTTAGCTTGTAGTACCTTTTGGTCTGCAGAACTTATAATGAAATTTTCTTGTTTATCCACCAGATCACTTCACTCACTCTGAAATATTTCTCTTATTTTAGGTGATAACCACATTTCTTGAAGGTGATCAGTCACTGACTTTAAGTATAGTTTAGTATAGTAATGCCACATCTTCTACACATTAATAATACCATTTTAGTAGACCTTATAGAAGTAATAATCACAAGACTGCAAAAAATATTTATCTTGTAGTATATTATGTTATGTGTCTTTTCTTCTGGTCTGATACAAAGACATGCAGTCAACACAAAGAGAAAAACAGCAATGTATTTACAATTTACAAAGAATCACTTCTCTGTGAAAATAGCACTTATAAATATGATTTACATAACAAAATAAATATGTAAATTACCAATGTAGCTTGAGTTTTTTTTTCCTGTTAAAAAATATGTTACAGAATAAAATTACAATTAGTAATACTTTTCCTTTTCTGGTGTGATGCGAAATAGAGGCCCTTTAAAAACATCATTTATAAAGACATCATTACATACAACATTGTCATTATATTAAAAAGTGATCTCTATGAGATAATAATAAGAAGGGAGTTACAATAGTGAACACTTGATAGAGCCTATACATATACTCAAAAAATACAATACACAATATTCGTCTCCCTTTAAATGTTCATTGCATTGATTTGAGGATTGCTGATCTACTGAGGTGACCTAACATGAGTTTTTGAACTGTCTTGTCATGATGATGCGGCCTGTGCGTAAGAGGTATAGCTTAGATGTGATGGCACTGTGGTTTTTGTATAACTATGTATAGACATTAAACCAGATCCACTTTAGCACCACAGTTAGCATTGTAAAACAACTAAAGGGGACATTCTGACATCTTAAAATATACCAATTTGGTTTAGATGCTATCAAGGGAGTTACAGCTATAGGAACATTGTGTCTTATTGCATTACTTTCATTAGCGGTAATAACACATGGTTTGTGCCTGTTTAGTTCAAACAGGGTAATTCTAACTGACAGTCTTTTGCTATGAGTTTATTAGAGCATCAGTGTCAGTTGTCTTTCTCTGGCTATTGTTTATGCTTTTTTTTTTTTTTAGAGGTAAATATAAAATGTCTCCTTTCTGATTCAGCACTTAGCGCACTTATGATATTTTCCTATATCTGCCTTGATGTCAGTTATTTTTGCAATGAGAGTTCCAATTACAGAAAAATGCTAGGGCCCAGTTGCACTGATAACAGTCTTATATTGGCTACTTAACAAAAACAGCATCCCTATGCCACTGTGGCAATGACTAAATTTAAACTATATGGAAGGACAAACATAAAAACAAAACATCAGTGAGCATCCTTAAAACTGGATTACATTCATGATATTTTCTTTTACAAAACAAAATATAATTTAAATGGTGAGTCGCAAAGATTTGTGCCTTGTCATTGTGGTATGTTGCCACAGTACTTGTCACCAGATGGGAGAAAAGGGATTGTGGGACAAGGTCAAAGTCCCTGCACTGACTGAGGTTTGGAGTAAAGTAAACAGGAGGTCAGAGGAAATTCATTATAGGTAGAATGGGTTGTGAAGATGGAGGGGTAGTTGGAGGTATCAGGCTTGGGAGACTGGCCAGAGAGACCAGCCAGCCAACTCTGCTTAGTTTAACGTTGAGATAATGCCTGTGTGTTTGTGTCCTTTTAGCTGCCACTGCTGAGCATGCCCAGTAGCTTGCTGGGGTCCATTCCCTGCTGCTGGGCCATCTTCTGCACATCAAAGCCCATGTGCATGAGGAACTGAATGACATTCATCTCCTGCCCTGTGAACTGATCTCGGATGGTGGGGCAGGTGGGGTTGCAGTGTGGCCACGGGCAGCTGTCAATCAGATGCACAGGACAGCCTTTAGGCGGAGCCTTGTTGTTCCTGTTGTCGTTGAGGCTGCGGTCCCAGCAGTGCAGCGCTCTGGGCAAGGAGGTGCCTTTAACCTGCACATCAATCCAATAGCTAGAACACAACACAAGAGGGCGCTGTCAGCACACAGGTAGAAAATCGTACAGCGGGGAAGAGGCCTTTTGAAAATGAATAATACCCACTTTCTGGTGATAACTTCATGCGATAAACATGCTGGAGCAAACATAGCCCTAAAGAAAAAACAACAGAAAAAAAACAGTAATCAGTAAAAGTCTTTGCAATAATTCTTTGTAAATTTTCCACCTGAAATCCAGATGCATGGCCTTACGGGACATCTTTGAGTGTGTTCCTCAGCTCAGTGCCCAGGTTTTGGATGTAGCGCCACTGGCCCTCCTGCACAGGCTGACCTGTCAGCTGAATGTTGTCTACTGTCAACTGAGCCTCATCAAACAGCCACTGGACCACAAAGACAGGGCCTGCTCAGGGAAAATGAAAAATATCAGCCAGACAATGTGAGTATTCGTAGATCACATCACAATGCACATTTACTTGTATCCACATAGATCATAAACCCACTTTTTATAGACGGGAAGACTCTGTATCCAAAAAAGCAGTTCCACTCTTCTCCTTCATGGGCTTGTTTGCACCGTTCTGGTACCATCCCTCCCCAGTACCTAATAGAAACAGACACAGATAGGATATGATGGGTATAGTAGCAACCTGGTGATCTCAGTTTAACGACTAGACTTAATGCTTTTCTTTTTAATAATGCTGGTAGATAAATGCATGAGGTGACACTGAAATATTCCTTAGTTCGGCTGCTTGAGGCTCAGACTGCTTGGGCTCGTGCATGATGTGCTTTTTCACTCCCAGTGCCTTTATATGTGACTAATGGATGTCATCATCTCTTTCCAAGAGATTGTGCTTTGTCGCATGTTTTGTTTGTTCTCCCCAGCCAGCCATAGCAGCCAGCCACATCTAGCAGTGCTTGCTATTATTGTCTTATTGTTGGGACTTCTATCTATAATTTCATAGGAATCTGTATCTTGAGATAAATATTGGTATGAAATAAATAAAACTAAACTGAGAGAAATCCCATACTTGATGCCTCTCTTGATGGTCTCAGTGGGGGCACAGCTGGCAGTGTCCACACAGTCAGTGCAGTGGTACTGCTTATTGTCCAGGAACCAGCCAGAATCAGAAAGGCCTCGCACTTGTATCGCAGTGTGGCCCAGTCCCTCCAGCATCTCTGCCACACGGTCAACATTCAGAAGAACGCCAGTACCTCCCGCACTTCATACAAAAACAATATATATTTTCATCAGTACACATACATCAGT